GTCGATGTAGAAAAAGCAGGGTGTTGTTATTCAGCTGGGCTTCACATGCAGATCATAATTTGTAGTTAAGTCTGCCCTCACCCAAAATCTTTTCTTCACCTTTCCCCACACCAAGCCCCATAAGTCAGAGTGAGGTTCTCTCTTTCTCAAACAATTACATTCATGTCTCCATGAGCTCCTATGGCTGTTGCTGCTGACCCTGACAGTGAGCAGGCAAAACTGGCAAACTGCTGGCCTCACACTCTTCAAGTCATCTGCTGGTGATTTCTGGCAGAACTGATGTGTGTTTGTGAAAACAAACAAACAAACCCCTCTAAGTAATTAAATTATTTGACCGAGTACTAATTTTCTCCCCTCCATCTTTGTCCTAAGGGTTTTTTCTCCCAACAAAAACATGATTTTCTTACCACTGAAGAGGTGTCTATTCAACTTGATTGTGGTTTTATGTCTTTCTGAATTCTTTTACCTGTGGGCATGATGCCACACTGAGAAGTCCTGGAAGAAGATTTTGTATGCTAGTCTTAGACATAAGCTGTCCTCAGTGGATAGTTTGACTTGATTCTTCACTACTTGAGTTCCATCTCATACCTCCGTTGTACAAGTGCATGTGTATATGGGGATGAGGGGGTGGGGGCAGGAGTTGGCACTACTCTGTTAGTGGAGATCTGCAGAGACCAGAGTCAGTCTGGGTTAAATAGGAGACTTAAAAACAATGTTAATAGTAGCACAGGAAACCAAAACACTAAAGATTGCTTTGGAAATCAGGACACAGGACCAGCAGATGGCATAATGACTATGTCACTGGACTCCCATGTAGTCGACTGCAGTTCGAATCCTAGACCCAGCAGCTTAAAACTCAAGCCAGGTACATGTGTGTGCATGCCCAAAATTCTAAGAGGAGAATGGAGGAGAAGGGCTTGTGACATGGCCATCCCCCTGGGGGAGTGATTTCTCACTTTCTGTCTCTCTGGCGAGTGCATGTGCTCTGTAATAAAAATCTCTCTAATTTTTTTTTTTTAAAAGAAGAAGAAATCAGGACACTGGGACCAGATGGTGTTGCATTGATAGTGCAACTGGACCCACATGAGAAGGTCCTAGGTTTCCTTTCTGTGGCCTTCCTGTGCATGCACACCTATGTTCCAAGCTGTCTGAGACTGGAGGTGTGGATCATGGTGTGAAGACCTTGCCAGGGTGTCTGTCTGTCTCTGTTTCTCTGTCTCATGGAATAAATAAATTTAAACAAATCTTTAAAAAATAGAAACCAAGGGCCAGCAGATGGTGCAGAGGTTAAGGTGGCTGGATCCCATATGGCCCACTGAGCAGTTCGAATCCTGGACCTGGCAGGTTGAAAAATAAGCCAGACACATGTATGTGCATGCCCCAAATCCCAAGCAAAGCCCTCATGACCGGATCATATCATGACAGTTCCATCTCTCAGTAGTACTCATTACATTGACGATTAAATCTTAATGTAAGTTTAAAAAAAAATCTTAATGTCAGTTTCACAGGGGACATTTGTACTATAGCATGTGGAAAGATGAATATTTAGGGCCCCAGGGAGATTAAGCTACTGATTTACTTTGTGTTTGTTAACTTAGAAGAAGCAGAGTTGAAATGGGGATCCACATCTCTTTTGTGGAGAATGATCCCATGGCTCAATCCATAGGTTTCTACTAAGTTCTGTGTAGTGGGCTCTGATGGAGAAGAAATTAGAAGTTTAAAAATATCAGTATGCAAATTGTATTATTATGTGAATTATATGTCAATGCAGCTGTAGATTAACAAAAATCTTTTGTGAATCAATAAAATGTGAGGGGGGGAAAAAAGACATGGAAAGCAACTCTAGATACCAGAGACAGTGTGGAAGGAGGGTGGCAAATGGCAGAGGGTGAGAGGTAGGGAATCAAGGGGATAAAATGAAAAGCAAAATATATAAGAAACAAGAATTGGAAAATTATTTCTTGACAATAACACCTATGGTAATATCCTTAATTGAGCCAATATACAGTGTATTCTGTATAAAAAATCATTTTGTATACTGCAATGATGTACAGTGAATGAATGTAAGTAAATAAATTTAAAATAAGAAAGAATAAAATTAACATGTTAAAAAAAAATCAGCATGCATCCCCCAGTGAGAAGTTGCATCTAAATGCCATTCTCTTGATAAAAGAAACTAAGGCTCCTTGAACAAATGGTAAATCCTGGAGCTTGGGCAGAGAAAAGAGGTGATCCTGGAGAATCTTCTAGTGCCAGAAATGAAGGACAGGCTCAAGATACAGAAGGATGAAGGTGTACCAAAGGAACATAGGAGCCAACCTGAAGGAGCACCCGATAGCCAAAGGTGGAACATTTTTTTTTTTAATGTTTATTTATTTCTCCTAAGAGAGAAAGAGAGAGACCCTAACAGGGGCTGACATTGCAACCATTCCAACCTGAGCCAGCCCTGGATTATGGGTATGCACATGCCTAGCATACTCGGCAAAGTTTCTGGACAAGAACCCAGAACTTTGCCATGTGGGTCAACCCTGCAGAACATTACATTTTACCACTGCACCAACATCCAGCCTTAGAAAAATTTGGGCAACAAAATAATGTAGTATTATTGGATTATTACCTCAAGTATAAAGTAAATATTTAAGTTCATACTGATATAAATAATATGTCAATGAAAAGGAGAGAAGAGGTAGGTCGATCTTCCTTAGAGAAGATTCCAAAGCTTAATGTGGATAGTTCCTCTCCAGGAAGTGGAGCATAATACCCATCATTCTCCTCTTGAGAATGGTCTGGATTTAGTGGCTGTTTTTCAAAGAACAGAGAATAGAATGGGGGAAAATAGCAACTTTCCAATGGAGAGACCTAGTGGACATTACCTTAACCAAGTGATCAAGGTTAACATCACCAGTGACAAGTCATACTGATATCATGTATCTCCTGAGATGATTTGGTAAGTTGGCACTTTACTCTTTGATAGTCTTCCCCCAAACCCTTAACCCCTGAATAAAAACGAGAAACAAAACAAAACCTTCAGATAGATCCATACTGAACAACATTCTGAAAGATACCTGATCTCTTCAAAACTGTCAAAATCCCGGAAAACAAGGAAAGACTTAGAAACTGTCCCAGACCAGAGGAGACTAAGGAGACAGGATGACTGAATGCAGTGTGGTATCTTGGATAGGATCCTAGAACAGAAAAAGGATGTTTGTGGGGAAATGGGTGAATTCCAAATAAAGCATAAAGTTTAGTATACAAAGACGTACCTGTATCGAGCTCCTGGTTTTGATAAATGTACCATGGTAATGGAAGATACTAACATGAGAGAAACTAAAAGAGAGATTTGGGGACTTTCTTTACTATTTTTGCAACGTTTTGTGATTCAAATATTATTTTTTAAATAAAAAGAGTGTACTTTAAGCATAAAACAAATTCAGAAAGTGTCACCATGTGAAACAGTGGGAACTCTCACACACTGCTGTTGGTAAAGTGGTACAACCACTTTGAAAAATGATTAACTTTAAAAAGTTAAATATACACCCACCATACAACTCAGCTATTCCACTCCTAAGCATTTACCCAAGAGAGAACATATATTCACAAAGACCTGTATAAGAATATCCATAGCAGTATTATTCACAATAGATCAAGTCTGGAAATAATCAACAGGAAAATGAATAACCAAACCTGGTACATCCATATGATGGCCTACAACAGGGACAGCCCTCAAAAACAGCATGCTTAGCAAAATAAGTCAGCTATAAAGTGTATATACTGTTTGAATATACTTACAAAAATTTAGTAGTGACCAAACCAATCCAAAGTGACAAAAAATTGAACAGTAGTTGCCCAGGGCAAGGAAGGAGAGAGGTGATTGGGAAGGGACAAGAGATAACTTTCTGGGATTATGGAAATATTTTATACCTTAATTTTGGTGGTGGTTATATAGGTGTATACATGTGTCAAAACTCTCCAAATAGTGCATTTTAAATGGGTGCATTATTGGGATGTAGTGATCAAAGGATATAACATTTGAGTTAGGAAGGAGGAGTAAGTTTAAAAGAGCTGTTGTACACCATGGTGACCATATTAATAACAATGTATTATAGTCTTGACAGTTATTAGAGTAGATTTTAGATGTTCTCACACTCTTTAAAATGATAAATGTATGAGGTAATACATATATTAATTAGCTCTATTTAATCATTCCATATTGTATACATATTTCAAAATAACATATTGTATGTGCTAAATATATATAATTTTTGTCAATTAAAATTTTAAAAAACCTTTCAGCTATAAAAAATAAAAACAGGGATCAGCAGTTTGCATAATGGCTATGGTCACTGGACTCCCATGTAGTTGACCACGGTTCAAGTCCTGGACCCAGTGGCTTAAATGCACGCCGGGGGCATGTGCGTGCATGTCCAAGGTCCCAAGAGGAGAATGGAGGAGAAGGGATTGTGGCATGACCATCCCTCCTGGAAGGTGATTTCTTGCTTTCTGTCTCTCTATCTCTCTATCTTTCTGGCACCTACCCTATAGCAAAACCTTTCCAAAAAATAAAAATAAAAAATAAATAAAAATAAAATGGGTATTATATGTAAAATATAGCTCAACAAAAATGATTAAGAAGAATGATGGTTAATTTTATGCATCGACTTGGCTAGGCCCTGGTATCCAAATATTTAATATTTAGTCAAACATTCTTCTAGGTGTTTATGCAATTTTTTTTTTTTATTGTCAGAGGGTTCCTGTGTTCACCAGAGAGAGACAGAGAAGAAGAGGGAGAAAGCATCCCCAATGGCCACTCCAGAGTTCTTCCTCCTCTATGTCTCCCTCTTCTTGGGATTTTGAGCAACTGTGCACACATGGACCTAGAGTGTTTCTCCAGCTGCCAGGGCTAGGATTTGAACTATGATTGGAATTTACCAACTCAGCGGATTTAACTACCTTTACATTATAGTGAATTTTTCCTTTTTAAAATCTCTTTTACCTCACAGGGCAAATCATACCCCTTCACAGGCCCATTCCCACCTGTGTGGAATCCAATTGCCTACCTAGATCATAACAACCTTTGGAGGACGATTGATGACATGGGTCGAGAGGTAAAGCTTCCTAAAGCTTCTTTGACTACCTTTGTATTTGTCATAAGTTTAGTCCCTAAAACAAAGAAGGTGCAATGCATCAGCAGTGCCTAGCACACTATCAAGCATATAGTAACAGTCAGTAAAGATTTGTGAAATGAATAAAGAAACTTGTGTCTAACCTCTGAAAAATGAGATGTCAGACTGCTATTTGTACACTACTGATGAGAGAGACAGAAGATCATACATCAATCAGCCTTCCTGGGATGATATTTGTAGGTTAGAAAATCCCCTGGACATAGTAAAGTAAGACTTCTGGGTCTTTGATTTGCAACCATGCCTAAACCGGCAGCTCATAAGTAAATACACAAAGCTTAACAGAAAACTCCAATTTTGACATGATTTGGTGCAGCTGTCTGATGCTTGGATTTATGAATTTTCTCTGTAAGTTAGTAACTTAATAATTCATATTTGGAAATAGCCCAATTATAGCATACATCTATTTATTATGCGGGAAGTGTCATCAAATTAAATATGGCTTGAGTGGTATAGCTCTATAAATAGGAAAGCCTCATAGACAACATTGATTATGCCGTAACAGTAACTATGGGGGGATTTGGAAAACTTGCAGTTTTATTTTTTAAGATAGAGGTTTGAATACTATTTGAATAGTTCTTTAACCTGGAAAAATATATTTGTCTCTCTCCTTCAAATCCTCACCTGCAATGTAGATACCCAGTGATGCCCCATGGAAAGCACCCCTTGCAGAAGAGTGGGACCACATGACAATGAAGGAGCTGCTGGACAAGCTCTGCTGGACTGAGTAAGATTCACCATTAGGCACAGGCATCTATAGTGGCCAGCGTTCTTGGTTACTTAGCAATACCATTCAGTGGGTATGGGACAAGTAGCTGCTTTGTGTCTAAAACCATACCACTTGCCAAGTGGAATGCTGAAGAATATTGGAACTGGGTCCTATCCTAAGATACCTACATATCCAACCTACTTTTTGGAATAGATCTAGATCACACTGGTGGTATTACCCCCCACAAAGCCCTTAGAACAGACCAGAATGTGACCCCTCCTTTGCTTAGAACAGCATAAAGGCCATTAGCTTAAAGATCTCACTTATCAAGTTACAGATGAAGGGGTACTTTTGTATTCCTCACTGGTGGTCAAGCGTTGAGATGGTTAGTGTACACATTTGAACACCTGATGTGATGCAGTGCACTTTTCAAGGATTTGAAGAGGAACTTCTAGAGAAGTTCTCTAGGTAATTCAGAACCATAGGGGAAATATGGATGACTGAACAGACTGCTTCCTTTTAATGTAAAGCATATACTGTTGATAGCAAGTATTCATGAGTCAAGCATTACATTCTGGTTGGCAGAACTGGAAACTATCTGTAAATTGTAGAGATTGTATAGACAGATGACTTGGAGGGGCCTTGACTGCTCATGGACATCAGGAAAGGATTCTGAGGAAACCAATCAAAGGACATAGTGAATTGGTAGAAAACAGAAATGGAAGCCAAGTTCTAAGAGGCTGTCTTCTCATGCTTAACAGCATTAATTGAGAATGTGTTCGGCTCTAGGGTTATGTCTTCATTCTTTAGGTATTGTGGAAGGATGCTGGACATCGACAACTAAAAGTAAACATGAAGTTTTGGGGAAATCTAAGTTGTGGAAATAATCAAAAGACATGCAATTTACATACTGGTTGGTATGGAAATTCAGCTTCTTTGAATTTATCTTTAAAAGGAGAGAGAAAGGAAGACAGAAAGAGGAACGTACAAGGAAGGTGGGAGAGGGAAAAAAAAAAAAAGCATTATTCTTTAAGGGGGAAATCTAAATGTCCAATAATGGAAGATTGACTAAATTAATTATGGAACAACCAAAAAATGGAATACTCTAGAATCTTTTAAAATCATGTTGCAGATGAACATTTAATGGCTTGAAAAATATACTAATATTAAACACAGAAGGGCAGACTGTCACAGTATGATATACGATCTCATTTCTGAAAAACGAAACTGTTATACATGCACTGCAAAAGCAAGGGACATCTATTGAAATGTTTTTAACACTTATTATTACAATGCAAACATTTATTTTTAAGTGTTTAAAAGTGTTGCATTATTGAAACCTCTTTTTTAAACATCATATTTCATAGCTCAGAATTTTCCATGGAAAATAAATACCATAATGTATTTATCCATTATGATCCTGATGGATACTTTGGGTATTTCCATTTTTTCATTATTGTGATTATATAATACTTTGGAATAAACATCTTTGCACTTCTAAGTTTTCAACTTTTTTTTAGAATTATTTTATTTATTATTGTTATTATTTTTAAAATTTGCTATAAGGCATAGGCCCTCACCAGAGAGACAGAGAGAGAAAGAGAGAGAGAAGGAAAGTGAGAAAGCTGCCACGTCCAGAATTTGAACCACAGGCAGCCCTGTGGGAGTCCAGAACTTTAACCTTCTGACCTTTGAAGTGCATAGAATCATTTTCCAAATTGATAAGTTTTCCACCTGCTGGCTCCATGTCTTCAACCTTTGAAAGCAACCAATTCTGGAAAAGTAAAATCTGTTTATGTCACAAAATTAATTTCTATTATTAGTTATATCTTTTAAAAAACACTTACCTAATGCTATTTAACACTTCTTATGAGAATGCAATTTGCAATATAACTTATTTTGCTTGTAATAAAATTAATTTTATTTTTAAATTATATACTTAAAATTTTTAGTAACTTCTTTTATTTCTTTTTTCCATTTTATAATTAAATTTATTTATTTACATTCATTCACTGTACATCATTACAAGCATACAAAATGAGATTTTTCCATCCAGAGTACACTGTATATTGGCTCAATCAAGCACATCAACATACATGTTATCGTCAACAAATAATTTTCCATTTCTTGTTTCCTGTACGTTTTGCTTTTTTTTTTCCCATCCTTGATTCCCTATCTATTGCCCTCTGCCATCTCCTACTCTCCTCCCACACTGTCTCTGGTATCTATGTTTGCTTTCTATACATCCCCCCCCCCCT